TATGGCGTCTTATTAAAACACAACTAATCTCCTTGTGCCTTGTGCTTGTCCTTGTGACAATGACCACGTTTGGCAAGCATGTACCTACTCTATGTCCATAAGCATTAAGCACCATACTGCATCTGGAGGTGCGAATTTAAAAGATAATCAAGTCACATTGCAAAACTGAATCTGAAAATGCAAATAACAACAATTAAATTAGATAATTTTTATAGTTGCCTACCCCTTTTATCAAAAATAAACTCATAAAGAGCGTTTAAAAAAGCGGCAGAGCACCTCGGGTGACCCCACGGAGTCATTGGATTTGACCCATTTTCAATTGTATTGTTATATTGTATGTATCGTATATACACTGAGTTTTTTTTAAATGCGAACATAGGAGTTTGCATGCAATGTAATTTCCCTATGTTCGATTTAAAAAAAAACACATCAATCTATGAGGTGTGCGCGGTTTACATTCCCAAATCGCGCAACTTGTGTGATTATGAACAGCAACTGATAGTCTTTATGATGAAGAGCACTCGGTAAGATTTTTTTAAATAAGCCATGTGAGCCCATAGCAACTTTAGGATACATTTTTCTTAAACTTACGAAAACTTGACTTCACATGGCACGCGCTGACATCACAATTCATTGTGAACCAACCTTCAATTATTTGTAGGTCATGTGCACCTGCTATTCTACTAATTTGATCTATTCAATACATAAATGAAGAAAATAAGAAAATAAATAACGCAAACAATTACAATAAATGTTCGAAGTGTCCTCTTTGACATTCTAAGCAATAACCTAACCGATTTCGTAATTAAATTGGACGGCGGTATTTTTAAAAATGTGACAGCTGTCAATTGTATCTACTACTCATTTGAACTACTCAATACATTGATGTGTTTTTAGCGCATTTTTGCAAAAATTTTTTTTTGTAAAAAGTAGCTTTTAATCTCACTTTGGCTGGCTGGCTGGCTGGCTGGCTGGCTGGCTGGATGGCAGTAAATGCGCGCCCGTAGAAAAACGCTTGTAAAAAGACAAGGAGTGTACATGTAACTATCGGGGCCGTGTAATTAAGAACGTTAGGGATGGGGCTACAAGATTTGGAGTCGACGACATCTGGACGCCATCCCCGAGCGTATTATACTAACCTGCAGATTTTTCAGTTTTTATCTATCTTCTTCTACCGTTTTTCTCCGATTGTTTTCAAATTGGTGTCGTCGGGAAGATCTTGTCAACGCGCACAACTCCTGCGTGGCGGAATTTTGTTTTTGTTTCCTAGGGGCGAAATAAACCACCTTTTGCGCGGCGCGCTTCGAGGGGTAGTTGACTTTGGAAACCCCAAAAGTTTCTTACAGCGCGAATCGCGGTCTCTCTTTCTCGTGTCACTAATAGAAGGTCGAGGTATGTGAAGTACCCAAAAGTTGAATACGATTTTATGCCGGGATTTTAGCGAAATCTACCAAAATGGGAATTACGAATGAACGGGACGTCGGAACTGTGTATCGACAAAGGGAATGTGGTAACCCCCGACGAGATCTTACTGATGGTGGAGTCAAAACTTAAAACGCGAATTGCGAGTGCACGGTAAGTGAGAAAATGGTACCGACAAAGTGAACGTGGTAGCTTTCGGCAAGATCTTATTGATGGTGGAGTCAATATTGGCTAATAAAACACTGATCTGCCACACAAAAATGCGCTGAAGTCCCTTCGATCTCACACGAGGACTTTGATAATTTTTTTTTAAATCGAACATAGGGAAATTACATTGTATGCAAACTCCTATGTTCGCATTTAAAAAAATTCCCTGTATGTTAACTGTGCAAAGTTTGAACCGAATAGCTTCAAGAGTTTGCCCGAGGCAGAGAGGCGTGACCGTACGGGGTCATTGGAATTGACCAATTGGCCATTTTCAATAGGCTTATTACATGTGGCATGTAGGTCAACTGTGCAAAGTTTGAACCAAATCGGTCCAAGCGTTTGACAGTTATCGTGTTCACGGACAGACGAACACCATCGACTCCCCTATAAAGCTTGCATCGCTTTGCTCTGCCGCTTAATAAATAGCAAACTATTAGACATCTGCTTTTGCTCTGGGTTTTTTAAAATATGACGAGGACTTTTTATTGATCAACACGTACCAGCAAGATCCCTACTGATGCTTCAAATTTTAATTGTCCAATTTGTGTATTTCAGGTTACTCAGTAATCCTGAGATCTTTGCGAAAATTAAGTCGCCTTTACAGGATGCTGGCATTGAACTTTTAAACACGAATAATCCAACACAACCTGAAGACTCTGAAGGAAAGTATAAGGCTTGGCTAATAGCAGTTTCAGTTGTATTGGGAACCCTATGTATCGTTTTGATTATCGCTTTCATCATAAAAACCAGAAGGTAGGTACATTTAGTCCAGTCCAATCATTTGATAATTGATATTAACACAAAATGAAAGTAAACGAGGTGTGCATAATCTTATCTTCAATATAAACCTACAATTAATTATACAGTTAACCATTTTATAATTAATTGAAATATTCGATAATAAAAACGTCAAAGGATGATAATGGACGACGTTAGTAAGTTGGTCAACTACATTTCATAGAGATAGAGTTGCGGTTTTTTAAACCGATTATGTGTTTTAGTTTATTGAAACGATTGAATAAACTGTCCTGCCCAAAGTTCGGTTCTCAAGAATCTGGTTTGAATAGAATAGGTTTGGCAGCACCCACAACAAATAAAAATACGACAGAAGGATCGAATCCAGTTTTTAGAGATGGTGAAAAAGCTCAGGAAATTGATCGGGATCGTTACAGGTTTGTCTTTATACAGCATTTGTATTTACTAATGAAATTTTTAGTATGGGAAGTGGCGATTCAGATTTAATTGGAATTGAAGATAATCCTAACTTTGACTACAAATCAGATTTAAAAACTACAGTAAGCATTCTAAACATACTTACAAAAACTTTATAAGTAACAGTTGTCTATGATGAAATGGATTAACATACAGTCTCTAGATTAAAATAATGATTCCTCAACAATTTATACTTTTTCAATTATATATGATCCAGTTGACCTGTGACGGTTGACATTTTTTTTATACCAAAAAAATCATGCCACTGATGCCAATGAGAAAATATGGCATGACTAAAATCATATCTGCTATGTATGAACACATAAGCAAATAAATTAATTATTATTGTACCCTAGAAGTCGGATATTACGATGCCTACCATACAAACCTTTCAACTGCATGTAACAAACCTCGTCATCAATGGCAACTTTTTACTTCGAACATTTGTTATCAAGTGTGCGTCTTTACAATTGTATATGTATTTTTTCTACAGTTTATAAATCCAGCATCCAAGAAGTGAACACGCCTTATATCGTCATATGTCTACATTTATTTCTAAATAGGTAACTTGTATATAAATAGGCTTAGTCTCACAATGAATAACATTTTTACATTGTTTATGTTTATGCCAAGTCTCAGGAGTTACGACATTTAAAACTGACTAATGGTGGGTTTATATAAGATTATCATTAGTTCACTATCAAAACCCGAAATAGCCAATAGAAACTGAGGTTTATTGCGCGTTGCTAACCAACGAAACCATCCTGAGCTTAGTGAACTAATGATAATGATTATTATAAACCCACCATTACTCTTACAATGTCTCAAGGTGATTCAATATAACTTTAATGTTTGTTTAATTTTAAATAAATGTAATTTAAAAATTTAATCGAGTTTTTTATTATTTCTCATTTCTATTATTTACTAAAGTGCTGTTATTTGTTCAGTGGGTGCAATTATAATCTCTATATGTCAAAATCAAAAATTGTGCAGAAAATTGCAGAAAACTTCTATTCAAAAGCGAAAAAACGCGCGGCGATCTAACGCGATGGAGAGCAACCGCTGCATGCACAATTTGCACACCATTTCGCCCCATGTCTCGGAAGAAAACGCGCAATGACAACAACTAATTCAATTCTCTTAGCTTTTCTTTCGAAAAATTCTCTTAAGATTTATATCTAAAAATATGTGTACCTACCGACCAAATTCGGTTCCAATCCGTTCAGCCGGAAATCAGAATACAGACAGGCAGACCGCCATATATCGTATGTCGGTAAGAAATAAGAACCTTTTAATCTTTCATATAATACAAATAAACCGATACAACGAAATATTCTCAGTATTACAATCACTTTTAACGCCAATTTATTTTATGTTATAGCAATGACATTTCATAGGTTTAAATGAGTAGGCTAATGTAAAACTGTGTAAAACAACATTTTTAAACATGATATAAATAAAACAAGATATGCTAGATTGCCGTTCCAAATTCGTCCAGTTCGCGCATGACGTCACGCGGTGATAAAATTTGAATTTAAAGCCGGATTTTTTTCTTAATTCTGCTACAAATACTATAATTTCTTAATTATAATGGTTTAGGGGAAAAAGAGAGTTGAAATTATAAAACCTAAACGCAAAATATGCCGAAAAATATTAAGAGATCGTTAAAGACCAGCTTTAAAAATGCTATAAGCTATAATTAAGCGCACCATAAAAAGAGGAAATGCAGGCGTTTTTCATAATATGGTAAGATACCTACTTATGCTAAAGTATCTAAACATTGTGGAGTAGATATTAAAAACGAAATGATTAATATAAAATATTGAATTATGTAGGTACACAAATTATAATTTACTAGTTTCAAAAACGCATTCGATAAGATGAAAATATATTGAATTATTGTTCTTTATTGGTAGATACATTGGTAATATAGAATTTAAAAAGTAAATCGGACATCAGGAAGTGTAAAGGAGTAGGTACAAAAAAAGACATGTTTGTTATTAGAATAGTCTCAAGTTATTTACAAAATATTAAATAAACAAGTACACATAACATATTAAATTAGTAATCTCGTGAACACTGAGATATGAGATGGAGTCAAACACTATTATTTACTACCTTCTTTAATATTCCAGGCATTAATGGAATTTTTTACACCATGCTCTAAGCGTTGACACTGCTGGCAAAGGGTATCCTTTTTCCCATAACAACCTATAGGCTCTTGTACCAGCTGAATGAATGATAATAGCTTTAGAAATATCTTCAATTGTCCATATTACTCGCTTATAAGGATGTTTTAATTTACTACCATCACCAACACTCCTATAATTAAACAAAACCTTGAAATATAGCTAATAATACTTTAGGTTAGATTTGCTTCTGAAAACGTCTCTAAACCAATTTCAAATACACCAAAACAAGAAACTTACCTGGTTTGTAGGAGAGTCGCAACTAATTTTGACCTATTTCTTTTGTTAATGCAACTGGTTCGGGCCGATTCCTCTTTCAGATCCTTTGAGTTTCCCAGTGGCAAATTGAAAAATGGTACGGCGTCTGGTTTCAACAGTCGACGATTTCGGGCGTTATAGCACAGTAGTTAAAACCGCAAATTTCGTTCATAAGACGACTCGTCAAAATGTTTCGAACATACTCTGGTAGTTTTCACATTAATATGACCTGGCCGGTTACAAGCTAACACCCAACGCTTTTGAATATTTTGATCATTCGGGAACCGGAAAAACATTAGATTGCTTGAAAACTGTTTTGATCCATTAGCTGTGGTACATTCAACCACGGAACACCTCATTTTGTTGAAAACTAATTCACAAATTCCAAAAAAGCACCAAAATCTACACTGACAGATAATTATATTTAATTTGAAATTCACCACGTGACGTCACACACGTGATTCATAACTCCTCCCACATGCGCAATATCATATCTTATATTTATTGTATCATGATTTTTAAATACATCTACTTTTCAGATTTCCTTTAGACAGTGAATGGTGAGATAGATGGGTTTCGTTTATAAAAAGTGATGAATCTATCTGGAGTAAAATGTATGTAAGTTCAGTACTCTCCGCCAAAAAATTAAATATATTAAATGTGTGTACGCCACTGCGCGTATGAATGTCCGCCATATTGGTAGCCTAATAGGATCCTAGGTAATATAATAGGTACATAAACTGTGAGCTGCCTAAGTATCTTTCTTCTGTATTAAAACCATCAAGGCGAAACACAGGAGAGAGGTTTTCCTCTACCATTTTTCAAGAGAAACAAGACGCCATTAAAACTTGAATCGGTCCACCGATTGACTTTTAAACAACGTTGCCAAACTTCTCGGCATGGCTTGTAATTATAGACGGCTGTGGTTTTACTTTACCGTAAATGTCAATTAATTGTCAAAGTCGGTCATAATTGGGCGCGTTCATAAGACACGACTATTGTGGAACAGTTATCGATACGTCTTATAATTACGTCGCTACTTTTACGCTCTTTACGGAGCAGTCGGCCATTTTTAGTACCGCTATATATGTCAAAGTAAGGAACGTGACATAAGACTGTATCATGACATAAGACCCCAACTGTTTCCGATACGATCGTAGCGGTACCTATCTGTTGTGTCTTATGAACGAGCCCATTAGAAGCTTAATTAGAACCCTTAACAAGCGTATGTTTTATGTATGTAACCTTCCTTCCTTATGCCCGTTTGCACCGACAAATTTAAGCGGAACTTAGCTTAAGCGTCCCTTAAAATCCATGGCAACGATTATTGAGACAATGGTTGCCATGGATTTTAAGGGACGCTTAAGCTAAGCTCCGCTTAAATTTGTCGGTGCAAACGGGCATTAGTCTTTTATTTCAATGATTCCAAGTGCCTATGTATCAAATTTCATTTAAATGCTTCCATAAATAAAAAGTTGACACTGCGCATACGCAAAACCAAATTCTGAAACTGGCGTTTGATTTTCCTTTATTCCAAGTGCCTATGTATCAACATCATAAATAACAATGGAGCGCAAATACGACCCAATCAACGTAGACATCTCCAAAAAAGTCGAGACTGCACTGATGGACTAAAGAATGCTCACCTGGACCGGACGACATCCCAATTGCGATGTTGAAGAACTTACCGGCTAACGCAAAAGAGCATATGAGACAGATATTTAACGTTATGAGAACCCAAAACAAATTCCCCATGAGGTGGTCAGAATCTATAATAATCCCAATACCAAAACCCAACAAAAACAAACTTAATCCAGAATCACACCGACCAATATCTCTGACATGTGCATTGGAAAAAATTCTGAACCAAAAACTAACCTGGAAAAAACAAAATGTGTGATGTTTTCTAAAAGGCAAAATATTAATACACCACAGCTAAATTTTCAAGGGCATAGCTTGAATTTTGTCGAGACCACTAAGTTCTTAGGTATGACTTTTGACAAGCAACTAAATTGAAAGTCTCACAAAAAGCAAATAATAAGAGGATGCCAGCCAGGCCTAAACCTTCTAAACACGTTAAGCCATAGCAACTGGGGAGCAGATACTGCTAAACCCAATTCACAACACGGCCATTATAACAATCATTGGAATTTTTCATACCAGCCCAATACAAAGCTTACTTATTATGCGAATCAGGAGAGCCATCTCTTGAAAGGAGAAAAAAAAATTAGAAATGAGCCCTCCGATGGTCGAGGAAGTTAGGGCTCAAAAGAAGGGGAGAAATACGACAATTAAAGGAAGCATAACATATTTAATTTCGCCTGGGACGTAAAAAAACAAACTATAGGTATAACAAAATTGTGACAAAAAAAAATGATAATAAAAGCAAACTGTTTGCGTTAGGGTTTTTTTTTGAGGGGAAAACAATAATCTAGGGGAGGAAGAAGGGATGGGGGCTAGGTAGGAATTATGGTATAAAGGGTAACACTCAATGAAAATATAGATAATTACCAAACTACTAAGATACTGGGTTACTGCTTATTGTGAGATCTCACATTACATACGGGCAGTGGGGTTACCTTTCTTGATTTTTAATTTATTTATGTATTTATTTACTTGGAGTGATTGGGGGGGGGGGCGAAGCAAAAGGGGAAATATAACAAACAATTTGCGAACTCAATACAATACTTGCAGTTTCTATTCGCGGAGTCCAGCAGGCGACGTTAAGGGTAGTTATATAGAGAAAAGGGGACGGTAAAGAGCAAGGGGAAAATAGGATTAAGAATAGAGGAACGAAACTTAAGCGGTAGGGGAAATACTGAATAGAAAAGGAACAATGAATTAGGGGAACGGAAACGGGGTAAACGGCGTCTTCGTGTCTTCAGATCCGGCTGATGGTGTCGTTTAGGGGCTGCTTACATGAAGGTAGTAGGTAGACGCCGTACAGTAATTAAATTACAGAAAAGAAGGCCCTAAAAGGGGAACGAAAGATAATGACACGCAAAACGACAAACAAACCAAAAAAAAATACTCACAAGGTGGTGGAGGCCTTAAGGAAGAGTCATCCGGTGTGCGACGAACTACAGGGAGTTAAATACAATTCTACAAAAAAAAATACAGGATGTACAACAAAAATTACACAAGGGGGTACTTACAAACGATGAAACGGAAACGCACACCGAAAGATTGTAATCGTAGACCAATACGGCGTGTTTTACGAGATCGCTAAATCCCCAAAATATGGGCGGCTCGATAGTCGATATAATAAAAACTTCTCCGAGCTTCTGGAGATCTCAATAAAAAGAGGCTAAATCCCAATTAAGCTTGGATAAAAAATTTGGAAAACTTTTGCACCTCATGCACGCACAGCAAAAACGATAAGTATTAGAATGGCCTCCGGAAATAATAAAAAGGAAGACGATCACGCAATCAAGGACGAAAT